CCCTAAAACCCCAAAACCCCATTATAAAACATTTTTAGTCCATTAGTTGTAAGTAAATTTAAAATAAAGATTTTAATTTTTGAGATAAAATTAATTAAATTTTAATTTTAGTTTTAATCTTTCGAAAAGTCTAAGAAAATTAAATCTATTAATCAATGTTTTTTCAAGGGGCTTCATCTTTTTTCTATTACAATTTTTTTACCATTGTTTTAACTTCATCAACAGCATCAAGAATATCTTGCTTCATGTTTAGTGTTCCTTAAATTTTATCATCTATTTTTTGTATGTTCTTAGATAGAGTTTTAATTTTTCCCTCCCATTAAAATTATTCTGACGAATCCTCTCCGATCTCAGCGTTATGACATATCAATAATCTCTATAATTTAATGCAATTTGGTTTTTCTTTAATTCTAAAGAGCCCTTCTACTTCCATCACTAATTTTGCTTGTTCCTTTAAATCAACACTCAATGCAGATGTTTACACGCGATCATAAGTATCTCCCATAACTGCAATAATTAAATTAAACAAAACCAATGGAATGAAAAACGAAGAAATAATAAATAGAACCCATTCCTGCAGAGAAAATTCAGAAGTATCAAAGTCTCCAAATGAAAGTCTGTAAGTAAATTAAAGAGAATCGACTATTAATTATCTTGAATTTTCAATATCAAAGGTATCCATAGGATCATAAACCTTTTGAAGAGTAAATAAATAAAACATCAAGCTAAAGCCTATAATCCAGTATGCTAAAATTATTGTAAAACTTGCCATATCCTTTATAATCTCGATGATCATATTATTGAAGTATCTAAGATTGTCAAATACTCTTAAGGTAGACATTCCTCTTAAAAGCAGACATATGAGTGTAACATTGTCAATCAGTGTAAAAACCAACTAATAATCCTTTTATTCAATTTCAACGAAATTTCTTATACAGTTAATATAAAACAAAGTAAAGGATATCATATCAGTGATATTCCAAAGGTCTTCAAAATGCCTTTTTACTCCTGATTTTTAAATCTAATTTATTTCGTATAAAATGAATATTGTGTTGAACAACAACATGTAGATGGTATAAATTAAGGATTCATAGAAGAATATCTGCCTTATAAAGAATGATACTAGGAAAAGGTAAAATGTGAGTGCTTGTAATCTAAGAAATACTATGCATTCATCATACTTTTTAGCTATAATAAATCTTAAGTTAGACCGTACAACTTCTTCAGATGATTCTTCAGAATATCTCTTGAGAAATTCAAGACTTGAAGAGGATCCCCTTTCAAAGTTATAAGCAAAAATACTCGAGCAAGTTTGAAGGACAATATCTTCACCTGAGTTTTCATGAAATCTATCTACTACTTCATCGCATAGTGGTTGTCCAATAATATTTTTTTCAAAAGGAATTAGTATTATATGTTAATTTGAGTTTACAGTAAAAGGTAGAGCACATTTATAGAATCTTGGGGCAGTAAAAAGATTTTAGATTAAAAGTTTTCCAGCTGGTAATGGACATTCCATTAGGGTCAAAAGATCTTTATCTGTTACAAATATATTCTCTTAGAATTTGTTGAAATAATCCAAGATTATATTCATATGCTATAACTTATTACTTTCGTAAGCGAATGTTAATGGACTCATTCCATTGAATGTAGTATGATATAAATTCTGAATTTTATTATTCTCAAAAAACTTAAGCATTATACTTTGATCATTATTCGATATTATATGATGAAGAATTGTTTATCCATTCTTCCCATAGAAAGTATCAACCATTCCATATTAATGAAATGTTTAATAAGCAACTAAAGAATTTTCTTTTACAAGATTGTCATTATGATTAAGTCCTGAAATAATATACTTCATCAAGAAAATACTAGAAGTAAATGAATCAGTTGTAGTTGGTAATTTGGCTTTTAAGATTGGATTCAATGTTTTTACTCCAAATATTTAAGTCCTTATCTATTACTTGCAGATCAAATAAGTTTAATCTGATTTTTCTATGATTTGATTTACATTTTAAACCATGTATTTGCATACGACAATTTTAAGATTTTTAATATCTAAAACTTTAATTTCTGAGGGGGTAGATAAATAAACAAATTTTTAGTCAAGAGAAAGCTTTATATCCAAAATTTAGTCTTCAATAGCTTACTCCAATTCAGGATATTATTATTCAAGGTTATAAATAATCAAGAAGTTTTACTTTCCTTATTAGGAAGACCTTGTTTCAGTAAAAGAGATAAGATTATTACTTAAAAGGGAGTACTTTTCAAAGGAATAAGTTAATTTTTCCATCAGCACTATGTTAGTATTCATTGATAAATCTCTTAATATTAGGCAATTTTGATTTGCATCATATATTACTACTTGAGAATTTTATCCAGGTAGAAAGTCTATTCTTGAAATAATATTCAATAAAGACACCTTTTTTATCTAAAAAAAGCCTTCATCTATATTCCATTCATAAAATTAGTAATATTAACCACTAACATTCACAATCAATGTTTTTTAATCATCAGAAAACATTATTTTCATTCCAAGAGCACTCAAAACTTCCTTATTTTAAGATAGATCAAAAACTCTAAAATTTCTTTCAAGCTAGATTGTTATAAATATTCCATTAAAACTGAACCATTTTACCAACTTTAGATTACTTATTGTAATTTTTGATAGATTCTCCTTGAAAAATCTAGTTAAGCTTTGAATGACTGAAATTCCTTAAGTAATATCACTTTATTAAAAGTTAGAATCAGAAATCACTATTTGTGATAAATCTGAAGAAGTATAGCACCCTGAAATAATGTTCTATGATTATATTGTGGTTACAAAACTTGTTTCTAAGTTATTCAAATCAAGTATAATGCATTGAAAAGGGGCAGTACTCCTAATTGCATAATATACTTTAAGTTTTGGTAAAATAATAGCCCTTGAATATTTAATGTTGTCTATTGTTAGTTCAAAAGCCTTTTAATCAACACAAAAGCAAGAGTTATTATTTTCTAAATAAACAGCAGTCATATTTTTCAATTAATGATGATAAGGAATGCAATTCACTGAAAATTCAATTTCAACATCAGGATCTAAATCAATGATTGGATTAGTTTCAACCAATTTGATCTAGTCAAGTTTCAGAGAAATTTTCCATTCTTTTAATTGTTTTTTATCAATCATAAAATACTAATCAATGTCTTAATAGTAGCCAGTCACAAGTCCTTCATATGTACCCAAATTATATGTTGAAAGAATTTATTTTTAGGTAATGTCATAGAGCTGAATCTCAACTCCGTGAATGAAAATCAAGGCTTTTTCACTTTTATTGACAAAAATAATTTTTGGAAATAAGCTAAGTTAGTTTGATTTTAAAAGTTGAGGTGTCTCAGCTACATTAGTAAATTTCTTATTCGATAAACTAACAAATAAAACATGATGATGGTGAGGAAATTTAATTTCATCATTTTCATCTTGCTCATCCGATGAAGTCATAACTAATCTGGAAATTGCGAAATATTTCATATCAACAGACACCGCAGAGAATTGAAACGTATCAAATTTTTTCATTGCAATTTCATGCATTAGACTGTAAACTATGTTCTTATTGCTAATCTTCAAGACTTATAGGAATTGTGATGAGTACTCAGATTTTTTTTCTAAAGTCATGATTAAATGTGCATTGCCCTCAGCATAATTCTCTTTTATTTGACAATCAATTGGATCATAGAGGTGGAAAGTTGATACATTGGAAGAAAGATTTGTTTGATATAGGATAGCATGTGTATATCTTTATAAAATGTGTAGCTCTTAGCTAGCCTAAAACGGCTCAAATAAAATGCATATGTATCTAGAAGAAATGGCCATTTGAATTGGGTTGAGTCCCTTTTCAGAATAGTAGTCTAAGACTAAGCTTTTGTTGAACTTTTCTTCATCCATTTCATTGATGTAGTTTGATAGGAGTTAATATTCTTCTCTTTTTGAGGATTTTCCTTCGTCAGTTATCATTTAATGTTTAATTTAAGAATTTATTTATCTTATTAACTAACTTGACAACAGAGTTTTTAATAAAAATATTTCATAAACAATAGAAGTTCAAATTAAATTTACCATAGTATCTCAACTCATCTCAATAAATAATGACTCATGGGGTTTTGGGGTTTTGGGG